AACCAAAGGAAGATTCTGGAGCAGCACTGTCCAGTAGAGAGCACTTTGCAGAGGCAGATAGAGATGTCAGCACCATCCTGTGGGAGCTGTCACCACAGGTGGTTGTTGAAAACCTGAAGTATGACTAATGAAACTGAGAAACTTTATTTAATTTTAATTTAAATTTTATCATATGTGGCTCATGGCTCTCATACTGAGCAACACGGGTCTAGAGACTTCAAGAAAGTTCATCAGAGTGTGAATGAAGTAGGAATGCAGTCCTTGGCATGGGATTTGAATTAAAAGTTAAGGAAAGGGTATGACTGGATCTCCAGTTTATGGTTTAAAATGAATCTTTGGGATATTGTGATGTTATATTTCTTTTGTGTTTGAACCTAATGAATGTTAAAAACATACACAAATAGAGGTTGGCAAAATTTCTTTTCAAAGTACAATGAGTTGAGAGTAGAATTTATGAATTGCTTTGATCATATTTAAAAAATGTTTTTCATCATTATGAATATACAAAATAGTCATCCATCATGTACAGATGTAAAAACCAGGCTGATTGGGAATGGAACCACCATTTGACCCAGCTATTCCCCTTCTCGGTCTATTCCCTAAAGACCTAATAAGAGCATGCTACAGGAACACTGCTACATCGATGTTCATAGCAGCACAATTCACGATAGCAAGATGGTGGAATCAGCCTAGATGCCCTTCAATAGATGAATGGATAAAAAAATGTGGCATTTATACACAATGGAGTATTACTCTGCATTAAAAAATGACAAAATCATAGAATTTGGAGGGAAATGGATGGCATTAGAGCAGATTATGCTAAGTGAAGCTAGTCAATCGTTAAAAAACAAATACCAAATGACCCCTTTGATATAAGGGGAGTAAACAAGGACAGGGTAGGGACGAAGAGCTTGAGAAGAAGATTTACATTAAACAGGGATGAGAGGTGGGAGGGAAAGGGAGTGAGAAGGGAAATCGCATGGAAATGGAAGGCGATCCTCAGGGTTATACAAAATGATATATAAGAGGAAAGGAGGGGTAAGACAAGATAATGCAAATGGAAGAAATGATTTACAGTAGGAGGGGTAGAGAGAGAAAAGGGGAGGGGAGGGGAGGGGAGGGGGGATAGTAGAGAATAGGACTGACAGCAGAATACATCAGACTCTAGAAAGGCAATATGTCAATCAATGGAAGGGTAACTGATGTGATACAGCAATCTGTATACAGGGTAAAGTTGGGAGTTCATAACCCGCTTGAATCAAACTGTGAAATATGATGTATTAAGAACTGTGTAATGTTTTGAACGACCAACAATAAAAAAAATTATATTTTAGGTGTAGATGGACACAACACAATGCCTTTATTTTTATGTGTTGCTAGGGATCGAACCTGAGTCCCGCCTGGGTTAGGTGAGCGCTCTACCACTGAGCCACAATCCCAGCCCTGTAGTTAACTTGATATTGCTTCTAAGCCTCTGCCAGTGTCCCAAGCTGAGTGTTGCCCCAATTAAAGATGGTGACCAAGGTGTCCCAAGATGGAGGTGGCTGGTTTCAGAGATGAGGTGTCAGGTTGGCCTGAGAGGTGGCATTGAGTGGCATGTTTGAAGATGCAGCTCTGGGTGTGCAGTGTTGTGGCTGGAAGCTATCTCCAGACCCTGTCCAGTGTCCCCAAGTGCAGGGAACTATAGCAGTGGTTGGAGTATCCTAAGATGGAGACTACTGTGGGAGCCCTAAGCTGGTAGATGGGGGTCCACATGGGAGTGGCTACCAGGGGTCCTGAGTAAGAGTGGCAGACTGGGGTCCTGAATGGGAGAGGTAGCCAAATGTTTTCTCTAATATGCAGATGCTAATTCACAATAATTGGTTGGGGGCTCTAGAGAAGAATACCATTACCTTAGATTAGGTAGAGGGAAGTGAAAGGAGGGGAGAGGAAGGGATGTGGGGATAGGAAAGATCATAGAACAAAACAAACATTATTACTGTATGTATTTATGTGACTGTATGACCAATATGATCCTACAACATATATACTCAGAAAAATGAGAAATTGTATCCCATCTATCTATACCAAACTTCATAAATGGATTATACTGTCATGCATGATTAATTAAAAGAAATAAAAAATTAAAAAAACCCTTGGGAATCAATCTAACAAAAGAGGTGAAAGACCTCTACAGTAAAAAAAAAAAAAAAAAAACAGGCTGATTATTTAAAAATTGATGCCATTGAAAAATACAATTAAGGAACCATACATGATGAAAAATTTTAAAATTAATTTTCTAGTCAATGAGTAAACAGTTCTCTTAGGTCAGTCTGCATGGTTTTCCTCCTGGACTGTTACCATAGCTTCCCAGCTGGTTTTTTGGTCTGTGGCCCATGTACTACCTCACCCCTAGAATTGTATTACTAAAAACACAAATCTAAATCACATCTCTGCTTAAGAATTTTTTTACTACAAATCAACATGTAATAAAAGTTCTCAATCACACTTTTGAAATTAGTAGGTGAAGAGAACTGATGAAAACAAAATTGTTAAAACATTTTTGTTAGTACATTGGCAATAAACAACAAGAAGGTTAAAGATAATTACAACTTAAATCCTAGTTAAATCTGCTTCTGGGAATCTTTCTAAAGAAACAATTTTAAACAGTATAAAATATGCCCAGGAAATTGCTTTTCACATAGTAGTAGAGAATGTCTGAAATTTTATTTTCTATAGGAAAGCAAAGAAAAGAAATCTATTATCCTCTTATAAGTTCTTTTTCTCAATCAATCTATATTATGGTTACTTAGACAAGAAGTGCCAATACTGGAAATTCTGAATCCATTTTACATATAGACCTCTAGCATGCTTGACCAGTAAATTGAGACTTATTATCATCACTTTATAATCTAGATGCCATATTTTTTCTAAAACATAAGCCATTTAAGGTTGTCATTATGTAATCTATTTATTTATTTCAGTTAAACCCTGAAAATATATGAAGAGTATGTGCTAAACTCATGAGGAATGGGACCATATATTTCCTCCTTACCAAATATCCTCAAAGTCTGTCACTCTCAAAAAAATTATTGAATGTCTTACTTTGTTAGTTTGTTTTGTAACTGCTGTAAGGGATTTTCAGTGTTTAAATAACTACTCTGTCTTTGGTGGTCTCTTTGATTTGTAAGGAACAAAAAAGACTTAAGTTACCTACCAGTAGAAAAGGAAGCATGAATGTAAATGAACATGACTAAGTTTTACTTTTTCTAGGAACCCGTAGAAACTGGTGCTTTTCCCTCCTTAGAAGCAGGTATCTCTTGATATCTGCCTGGTGTTTTTCATTTATTCCTCTCTGCCTCTGATTCTGAGTACTATTTTGTTTCTCTTCTGTAAGATGACATTGCTTTCACATAACTCTAGTACATAGTCCTAAGAGGAGAATTATTCTGCTAAGTACTGTCAACTCTAGGCAGAACTTTTACATCAAGGTTCCATGGGCTGCAGATCAGCTTCTATTTTGACTGGTAGGGATTTTGCTCTGGTCAGATGTGGCTGGGAGACCAGTTCAAGTGAAAGAGATATTGCATTTTCAGATAAGGAAATATCTGAGTTATTTTCAGCTTAGAAGTTTCCTTGGGAGGATTTGGTGATATCTGAAGCTTTATACACTATTTTCTAATACATATGTGCTCCGTTATTCCTCAGTTTTTCCCACTCAGTCTTTTTTTTTTTAATTGGTTGTTCAAAACATTACAAAGCTCATGACATATCATCTTTCATACATTTGATTCATGTGGGTTATGAACTCCCATTTTTACCCCAAATACAAACCCACTCAGTCTTTATTATCTTTATAAACCATGGCATAGTTCTTAGCTTTGTAGGACTTCTTTGTCAAAACCTTAGGATATTTTATTGTTAAAAAATTAAGTGGTTAGGGGGCTGTGGCTGTGGCTCAGTGATAGAGTGCTTGCCCAGCACGTATAAGGCACTGGGTTTGATCCTCAGCACCACATAAAAATAAATAAAATAAAGGTAACATGTCCATCCACAACTAAAAAAAAAAAATTAAGTGGTTGGGTTGGGGGTTGTGGCTCAGTGATAGAGCGCTTGCCTGGCATGTGTGAGGCACTGGGTTTCATTTTCAGCACCACATAAAAATAAATATACAATTTGATGAGGTTTTTTTAAAATAATTAAGTAGTCATTTACCCCTCTTTCTTCACCTGGCTAAGAAGGAATTAAAAATATCATAGGCTTCCTCAGACTATCCCTTTTTTAAAACATGCCTGTGGAAAAGGAAGCAGTTCTTTGATTGGAATTTTCATGGCTTGTATATAATTACATATTTTGTATATAATTTAAATGAGAACACCAAAACATTTTCAAATTTAAACTTTAGAAAAAAATTTAAAACTTAAAAAAAAATCTACCACCTAGACATTTGACAATTGATAAGCAAGTAGAACAGTAAGAATTATAGTATTCTTCATTTCTTAAATCCAGTTAATCTCTGCTTCACCCAAGTTTTACATTTTTTCTTAAAGTTCAATAAATTTTTATTGATATGTTCCTTGATACCTTATTCAGAAAAAAACCCCATAAGTCAGGTGATTGCTTTGGCAATTTGCTAGCAATCCTCTGAGTTTAAACATGTTCTTCAGCTTTCAGATTAACATCTAACAGAATACTCTTGTACTGGGATACTATCAGATACGATTTTATTATGGAGGTTAATGAATTTTCAGTGATGTAAAATATGGGCTAAAAATATATGGATGTAGAATATGACTGGGGTAAATGATATTTTGCTGAGCCTTACCATGCACCCAGCACTGTGGTCCTATTACCTTATCCACATAATGTCTCTCTGGATTTTCTTAATCGGGACCAAAAACTTATTCTGATTCCACATTATTCTATTGTTTATTTATTTTTTAATACCTTAAGAATAAATATGTATCAACTTAACATTTCTTAGAAAAAGTCAATATTAATACATTAAACTTTTCTTATAGGATAAAAGAATAAGAGTATCTCAACCCTTGTCAAGAGGACCAAGTGCCTTTATTCCAGAGAAAGAAGTAAGTTTATCTGTTTAAAATTCATGAAATATCATTTAAAATAACTTCATTTTATCAAAGAATATCTCTTCTCAATATGGAGATAAAAATGTGTTTCACTCTTGAGCTTTTTATTCCTATGTCAGAAAACCACAGTGATGTTCTTTTCAACTTCACTTAGAAATCTAAGTGTGACTTATTAAAGTTAGGGAATACTGAAAAGTTAAAAAGACAAAAAAAATTAACAATATTTTATTTGATATATAGGTTTTCTGAGAAAAGTAGCTAAGAATAATAAAATTTAATACTAAATTGAAGGTTTTTGGTTTTAAAAAGTTTGTTTGATGTAAACTATACTCACTGTGAAACAATGTTTAGAAAAGATATTTTGAAATGAAAAAATGAGTTTCCTAACTAAAAGTCTTTAAAATAAGATACATTTTGTTCTTTGATTGGACAACATGTCACAGGATCTCCAAACAATTGTGTACCTTTAGTGAGGGTGGGGCATCAAGATGGTAAATGCAAGGAAGAGGGTTAAAATGATATAAAGGAGATTACAATCAATACAAAGTCGGTGCCTATTTTGTTGGTATTGATCTCTTAAAAATAACAACCATCTGCAGGACTCTCTAGATTCCTAGATCACTCTTAGATATACTTAGGCTAAGAACAGTTTAAAATCATTGATAAAGGAGTTTTTCTCTGCTTTAAGGAGTAATTCATGCATACCAAATATAATTATCATATATTCAGGTTCACTGTTTACTATTTGCATAGACATATTTTATCTTAAAGCAGTAGGATTATTCCTTTATTGTTCTGAAATTAGTCAACAAATAACGAGTACCTATTATATGCCAGACATTGTTTTAAAGAGACTAATAGAATTAAAATAAAACCAGATCATTGCCAGAGTCAGCAGTTCTTTATCTTCATCTCACTTTTTTAGTGACCTTCTCATTGAATGAAAATTTAAAGTAACAGTAAACTTTCCAGAGCTTGGTGACAATAGCCAATCTAGGTGGTGGCCAGCCTTGTCTATAGGTTGGCTACCACCTAGATTGGCCAGGCTGCCGTGTGTATTCCTGTTTTCCTCATGTCCAGAGATTGCTTAATACATATAAAATGCTTCCAAAGCACATTTCCACAGTATATATTTGAAGCTATTCTGGTTTTTCAGGATCTATTGCATCACATCAATTTATTAATGTATCTTAGGCATCCAGTTAGACTTAACTGCTGGAGAAAGTAAATTAAAAAACAACAAATATTCTATCCCTAACCATGTATGGTTCATCTAGATATTTTTATGTTTTTAACTATCATCTTGATTCCTATAGTTGACAAAGTAGGAGAAAGTGGGCAGTTGAAAGTTAACTGAGCTTCAGTGAAACTGCCTTTCTTTTTAACATAGTAAATTAGTACTTTTCAAACATAGTCCTTTGATTTTTAATTTCCCTCAGTCATTAGTACCTCTGTATAATTTGTTCTTATTTTTCAGAAAAAATTATGTGAAGCTAGCACTGAAGAGTAAGCAGAGTTTCTTGATAACAGTGTGAATCTTTGAAAAGACTATTACTTTGATCTCTAGGAGATCTAGATTCCAAACCAGATTTTGCTATTAACTAGGTGCATGAACTTGAATTTCATCTAGACTCTGTTTCCTTATCTTTAAAATAAGAAACATATTCATCTTAAGTCTAGAAAAAGTCTAGAACTGTAATTATAAATACATATAAACAATGAACCAATACTAGAATTATGCATTATATGTTCATCAGTTCTGAGAATGAGTCATCTTTCCACAAGGTATTAATAAGCTATTCATGCCTTCAGAGCCAGTTCTTGGTGTAATGCCCAAACTGTTATTGTATTTAAAACTATATAAGTAATCTACTTTTCAGAAAGCTCTTTGGATTCATTAAGATAAAGCATGTCCATTTTACTAACTTAACTTGTTTTTAGTAATTAATATTTTAGGCTCAAACTACCAACAAGAGAATTCTTATGACCTTACTAACTTTTTATTAACACTTTCCTAGAAACTATCATATGTTTCTATGCCCTGTAAAAGACTTCAGAAAACTTTTTAAATGTTAAATAACAAAAACAAGCAAAGAATGATTTAAAATTATTTGTTTAAAAGTAAGCAGGGTCCCAGCTGCTCGGAGGGTGAAGACAGGAGGATTGCTAGTACAAAGCCAGCCTGAGCAACAGCAAGGCACTAAACAAGTCAGTGAGACCCTATCTCTAAATAAATGCAAAATAGAGCTGGGGATGTGTCTCAGTGGTTGAGTAACTCTGAGTTTAATCCCTGGTTACCCACCCCCAAACACACACACACAAAATAATAATGTGATTGTCTTCACAAGCTGATGAGATTAAATTATAAGTTTATGTAGTCAAATGCTGCTCCCTTTGCCTCACCACAAATTGGTGTGACAATGGCCAGGCAAGTGGGCTCTGAAAATCTGCCTAATATACGCCTAGCAAAGCAGATGGAAGCTTTTTTCCTTCAATTTTATAGCTGTATATTTAATGTTTGATGATTTAACATTTGTTGTTTAATAAATTGTGGCACCAGAGCCAAAAATGAATGGAACTTTTTGAAAAATGCTATGATGAGCAACTGCATAATTTCTCTGTCTGCAAATAGTAAATGAATATTCATTTGCTTCAATAGTAGCAAAATTTATGTAAATCAAGGATGTGTTTACATCACAATAGCTCTTTTGTGGTTTTCTTTGTTATAGGTTGTCCAAGCAAACACAGTGGATGAACGAACAAACTTTCTTGTGGAAGAATATTCTACATCTGGTCGTTTGGACAACATTACTCAGGTCATGAGTTTACACACTCAGTACCTGGAGTCTTTCTTGCGGAGCCAGTTTTACATGTTGCGCATGGATGGTCCCCTTCCTCTACCATACAGGCACTATATCGCCATAATGGTAAGTGCCCATTTTCCTAGTTTTTCCTATTTTCATGTGACATCTTCCCCTTTTCTTCCTACCTTCTAAAAGCATATCTGTGTTTGTGTGTACATGTGCATGAGTACACATACTTCATATATATGCAGAAAACTAAGTATAACTTTATGGACATAAAAATTGAAGATGCCTATTGCTTTCTGAACACCAAGTCCTTTGGATACATTTGGGGTACTTTAAGACACTTAATATATTGAATGTTTTTCATTTAATTTTCAGTAAAATCATTTTACATATTTAATCTCTTATTGTTCAAGATGTTCCTAGGGTCTAAAATAATATCTCATAAGTTTTGTTTTTAAATGAATGATGACACTTCTGTCATTCTTGTTATACACTAGTTAACTAGCTAATGTTATTGGCAGGTGATGGGTGTCATGGAGGAGAATTATAAATTTGGATGACAAGCAGTAAGAATGAGAAAAGTAGAAAGAATAATGCTATAGTTGGACTGATAACGGAGAAAAAGGAGAACATGATGCAAATTTTGTATGTTTAGAGAGGTTAGGAGAACAGCTGGGCTGACAGAAATAGCAGAGCTAGCCAGGATTTAGTAGATTAGTGTTTACCAAGTTTGATTTGATTATCTTTTTTTTATATTCTCACTGAAGTTTTGAACAATAACAAAAAGCATTCTGTGTTTTATTGAATAATGAACTTGACTAAGATGATAATTTTAATTTTTCAGCTTTGGTGACATTAAGGCTGAAAAAGCAGACTTAGAATAGTCACAAACTAAGAGAGAACCCAGACATAGAAAATGGAAAGAAAAAAACAATACTAAAAAAAAAAAATACTATTTTACTGAGAAGTAGCCCTAAGGCAAAGAGAAGTCAAAAGTCTGATTTACATGAATTATACTAAGTTGTTGGCTACTGAGACTGATTTTGACTACATAGAAAGAAAACAATCAGCAAGTTCAGTGTCATCTGAGTAGGATAGTGTAGAGAGAGATGACTGATATTATAGCTGTGTGTGTGTGTGTGTGTGTGTGTGTGTGTGTGTTTGTTTTCTGACTTGAGCACTGTCTTATCTAGGCTAGTTTCAAAACTCCTTGGTTCAACCAGTCCTCCTACCTTAGACTCCCAAATAGCTGGGACTCTAAGCATGCACCACTGCGCTTAGCTCACAGTTATCATAAAGTGAATAAGAGAAGTACTCAATTATTATGAATTCTGAATTGTTAGAATATAAGTTAATAAAATGTTATGGTGTTTTAAATAAGAATACAGTATATGTTTATACTGAAATGGGTATGTATTTCCTTAAAATAGCTAGAAAGTGGGCTCTGGGTTAATCTATATAAACTTCTGGATGAAGAAGTAATTGGCTTCATGTGATAATTATTTGCTTTTACAAGTACATATCAGCATCATATATTGATTCAAGAATCTATTACAGCAGTATGATAAACATTCTGAAAGAAGATTCTGTAATAAAAGAGTTGTTAGCTATAAAAACCATTAACTCCATCTGAGTTGTTCATAAATAGTTGAATGAGACTCTATTTTGATTTTTTTAACATCAAATTCTTTTCTTTGTGCTTTAGGCTGCAGCTAGACATCAGTGTTCTTACTTAATAAACATGCATGTGGATGAATTTTTAAAGACTGGAGGTATTGCTGAATGGTTGAATGGTTTGGAATATGTACCACAAAGACTGAAAAATCTTAATGAGATAAATAAGCTGCTAGCACACCGACCCTGGCTGATCACAAAAGAGCACATTCAGGTACTGAGCATTTCTTTGAAATAAAAAGGAAGTTTACTAATGATTCTGAGTTAATTTTTTGGTTGAGTTTTTTCTTAAGACTTATAATTTTAACACTTGCATATTAGGAACTTGAAAAGAAAAAAAAACCAATAAATTAATCTGTGAAGCAGTGGTAAATTTAGGAAGTCAGTGGGTTTACTTTAAGTACAAATGAATACTTATCCTCCTTAAGTAGTGACTAATTAGCTTGTACTAGAACTTTGGTGAGCAGTAGGAGAAAAGTTGGCTGTATTTTCAAGCAGTAGATAGAACAAAGAAACTATAGAATCATGACAGGATGCCTGGGTTCTAGGGTCTTTGTTATTCACAAGTTTATACCCTTTAGCAATTTCTATAGACCTCAGTTCTCCCCTTTGGTAATGTGAGGGGTCTAGATCAAATAATTCTAAATTCTTTCTAATAGTAGTAACATTTCATCATTTTAAGATTCACAAAAAATAATTTTGCAAATAAAAAATGATTTGCCAGCTGGTATGTGAATAGTTTACAGAAACTAGAGCCTAGATGAGAAATAGAGTTGTTGTGATTGAATAAGAGCACTTGAATTTCAAAAGGAGCTTCCATCAAAGGCCAACAGGGTGAGGTCATTATACAGTATATTTAGCACTTTGCTTGGTACATGGTAATTATTCAATAAATAGGAGCTGTCATTTAAATTATTATCAGTAGAAGCATTAGTTATTTAAATGCCTGTTTCTAATGCATTAAAATGTTCTTTTTTTTTTGTTATCCTATTGAACCATATTTTTATTGGTTATTTGCCCAGTTATTTAACAAAATGTAGCGTATGTCAATCTGTATACTCTTACAATCTGAGGATCTTTCTGGGAATCTGTGAACACAATGCTATCCTAAGACTTATGTTCTGATTTGATAGCACGTTAGGAAATTAATTAAGCATTGTTCTTATGTTATATCTTACTTTGTGAAATACTTTGGAGGGCTAAGAAGATAAAGACTTTGCCCCTGGATGTGCTTTGGAGTCCAGGGGAGAAGAGTCAGAGGGTAATGACAATAATGTTACCAAAATCATGTTCAAATATATGGATAAAGAGAATAGGATCAGAATGTTTCTTAAAATAGGTGACATTTGAGCTAGGTCTCAAAAAAGTGGAGGTTTTCAAGTAGAGTATGCATATATGATTTGTGAGAAGAATAGCTAATACATTCAGGTTATTGAAGTGTAGGGATATATATGAAAGGTAAGGGATGGGAAATGGGAAGAATTTGGATAATATCGTATGACCCAGTAAATTCTATATTATTATAGAATTTATGTTTTTATCCTCAGAAAGTTATGGTCTTCAAAGTTATGTTACAGTACCTCATGGGGTAGGGAGACAGTCCTTCAAAATATTAGAAAATATGTGTGTTCATATATTGTTATCTTTAAAAGATTTCTCGGTGTATTTTGTACTATTATTACAGTGCATATATGTATCAGTTCTAAATAAAATATAATTTATAAGTATATATTTATTATAAAATTAGGGGTTGGACCCTTTAATTGTCACTGTCAGAAATGTATATGATCAAAAGAAATCACTGTATTAGACAATTGAGATCATTAAAGGTATTTGTTCCAAGTTATAATATAAACTTATTTAGTGATGTAGAAGGTAAATTACAAGTGGTAACAGACTAGAAGCTGACTACTCAGTACTATACTTAAGAGCTTACTTTTTTAAAAAAAGTCATGTTAAGATAAAGAGAAGGAACAAGACTGTAGTAATTATTCTACATGAAAATAAGCAAGACCCGGTAACTGGCAGAATATGAAGATGGAGGAAGGGGGTAGGGGAGGAAAATGACTCTGAGGTTCATGAAATGAGCATTTATAGGACTGAGAAGATTATTAACACCCACAAGGTTATGTCCAGTTAGTAAAGGAAATACAGGTCTATAGTTCAAGATAAAAAAGGGTGGATTAGAAGTAAAATCCAATAGTTATGAACTGTCCATTCAGGTCTTAAGATACTGTACAAGGAAAGAAGATTGTGGATGGACCAGGGCAAGCCAACATTTTGAAGGCAAGTAATAACAATGAGGGCTGGCTGTGAGTGAGAGAAAGATCCATCTCAGGGTAGAAAAGGTATAATTATTGTAGTCAAGAGATGAATTTCAGGAAGGGAGGAAGTGAACAAAGTAAACTCTGCAAAGACCAAACAGGACACAGACTAAAATGAAATAGTCAGATTGGGCCATTTGAAAGGTCATCATGTATGACTTTAGTAAATGTAATTGTAGAAGTTCGTTGGAAAAAAATCAGATTATAGTGAATTTATAAAGTAGAAATGAATGTGAGGAAGTGAGAAATTACAGATGATGAATGTTGGCTATATTTTCAGGTTTAATGATAATCCTGCAAAGATTGGCCAAAGCACTGTAAATTCTACCAGTGATTTTCAAAAGTTCTTGGCAGTATTATAAAAATATCATAAACATATTAATACTCTTTATCCTAAAAATCCTATTAGGAAATGTTTCCAAAACATGAACAAAAGTGTAGCATGAGGAAACTATTTATTATAGCAAAAAAGTGAAGCAATTTAACTAATAGTACAGGAATGGAGAAATAGTCATGTATATGTTTTCATGTATCATGCAGGCATAGACTTAAAAACTCATATGACATTGTAGCTCCATGAAAAATCAACATGTCAAAATATCAGATTTGAAAAGCATAGAAATAGATGTTTATAGTTTTAACTTGTAATCATGACTATAAAAAAAGTAAAAGTTCTATTAGTGTGGTAGAATTTTAAGAATTTAACTGATCTTTTCCATTTCTTTCTCCTGAGCTTTTAATAATATATTAAATCGTGTGTGTGTGTGTGTGTGTGTGTGTGTGTATTTTGTTGAACAATAGAGAGCAAAGCAAAAGAAAGCAGTTTTTTTTTTTCTGATTTAGCAGTGAAATGAGCCAAATGAAAGTGAAAGGAAGGAAAAGGAAACCCACACACCTCCCACACACAAACACACACACGGGGTGGGAGGAGGCATACATGTGAGTGAATGTGTGAACGGATGGGAAAGAATCCCTGGTGGATTTACTGATGGAATTCACTCCTAGAGAAAATAGGGAGGGGGAAGGAATTATTATTTTTAATGGCTTTAATTTATCAATCAGGTGGAGCATTGAGTAAAAAAGCATATGCTCTTATTCAAATGTAAGAAAGTATTCTACAGTCTATCATTGGCTATAGGATCTTTATTGGAGGGTATCCAAAGAATATCTAAAAGCTGAAGTGCTAAGTTAGATTTTTCAGGTGATTTTGTCCAATATAGTTTCCAAAACCTCAAAAAGTGAATGGTTTTGCTATAAGATCTTTAAAGTTTCTTCTAACTGTAATGTTCTTTGATTCCCTGAAATATCTCATTAAAATAACATAAGGTATAAAAGGCTTTGGAAGCAGTAGATGCTTCATGTAATAAGGCATTTAGAAGAAGCTACAACATAATTATATTATTATGTATGATAGTTATTAATGTAACATTGTTTGACCAAAGCTGAATCTAGAGCCTGTGAAAAATTTTAAATTGAGTTTTAAATATATTACTATAAATAGGTATATGAAACCTGTTAGATTGTCTGTGCTTTTTAAAATTGCTTTGTAGCATTCTATAATTTTCATATTTACTCTGATTTGCTTTCTCATTTCAGAAACTTGTCAAAACTGGAGAAAATAATTGGTCTCTGCCTGAGCTGGTACATGCTGTGGTCCTATTGGCACATTATCATGCTTTGGCAAGCTTTGTTTTTGGTAGTGGCATCAATCCAGAAAGAGATCCAGAAATCTCCAATGGATTCAGGCTAATATCAGTCAACAATTTCTGTGTTTGTGATCTTGCTAATGACAACAACATAGAAAATGCATCCCTTACAGGCAACAACTTTGGGGTTAGTTTTCTTAATTATGTTTCTTTACCATTTTTGCTTTAAATTTTTTAATGATAAAAATGTCTAGAGATATTTTCTGACTAAATAGGATATCATGTACTTGAAATATTTTTGCATAATTTTTATTACTATAAAACTTTAATACCTAAAGTTCTGATTTGTCTTCAAGAGGCCTTTTTAAAGCAAATAGATAAGATTAAAAATCATAAAAACTAAACACTGATGGATTTTAGAGATTATAGGCTTTTTAAAAAAATATCTTTAGTTATAGATGGACACATCACCTTTATTTTATTTAAGTATTTATTTATTTGTATATGGTGCTGAGGATTGAACCCAGTGCCTCACACATGTTAGGCAAGCACTCCACCACTGAGCCACAACCTCAGCCCCTAATCATAGGCTTTTAATTTAGATCCTTTACATGCCCAATTTCAAAACAATGTATCTGTTTCTATAAGATGCTGGAACAGTTAACAGAAAATATATGAGAGCAGAAAGTAGAAAATTTAAGGATGCCTCATTTTTCAATAAATTATAATGTAATTTCATATATACCAAATGCTATAATTCTACATTTAAAAATATATATCTATATGCACATGTATATATGTACTTGTAAACTTTTTAACTGAATCCGTCATGTGATTCTCTTTGTAGTTAGTGAAAAACTCACTTATGACTTTTTAAAAATAATTTTAATAAAAAATAATTCATATATCATCCATTTCACCTATTTAAAGTAATCCAGTAGTGCTTAGTGTGATCAGAGTTGTACATCCATCACCATAATAAATTTCAGAATATTACTATAACATAAAAAAGAAATTCCAGGGGAGGGAAGGAAGGGGAGGGGTCATGGGGGCAGGAGAGATGGTAGAATGAGATGAACATCATTACCCTAGGAAAATGTGTAGCTACTCATATAGTGCGATTCTACATCATGTACAGCCAGAGAAATTAAAAGTTGTGCTCCATTTATGTACAGTAAATCAAAATGCATTCTGCTGTCATGTGTAACTAATTAGAACAAACAAAAAACAAAAAAGCAATTCCATAATCATTAGTAGTCATATCCCATTTCTCTCCTCTGCCCCATCCTTCCCTAATTCTGAGCCCCTGGCAACTACTTATCTATATTCTGTCACTACATATTTTCCAATTCTAGACACATTTTTAAAAATGTATCTAATTGTAATTACTTATAATTTGACAAACATCTCTCCTACAATCTTAATAAGTGTGCCTGACCCACTACACATAATAGAGTGACTGAAAGATGAAGATGTTTACCAGAACAATTTTTCATATTAATAGCATCTGACATTATCTTATGTGGTTCTAGATTGTGGATTCTCTAAGTGAGCTAGAAGCCTTAATGGAAAGGATGAAAAGGCTTCAAGAAGAAAGGGAAGATGAAGAGGCATCTCAGGAAGAAATGACCACGCGATTTGAGAAGGAGAAGAAAGAAAGTCTTTTTGTGGTCTCTGGAGATACTTTTCATTCATTTCCTCACTCAGGTGCTTCTCTCCACCACCACTGTCTTTTATTTTTAATTGTTTGTAGAACCTTACTGAATGATCTTTAGTATTTTTCATATGAGTGTGTAAAAATAACTGTTACCATCTTCCTTTAATTTAGTTTTGCTCTTCTACTTTGCCTATTATTTGCCCTTTTAGGCGGTGCATCTTTGAATGTATAGTTATGTATCACTTTAGAATGACAATATGTTCTGATAAATGCATTGAGGGAACATTGTAGAGTATACCTACGTAAACCTAGGTGGTGTAGGTCAGTCCCTTGAGATGGCCTCTTAATGCAAACAAGACATAACAGTAAACATGAGATGTATGAGGTTACTACCAGCATAACATGGCATACTGTTTTGTAGTAAGTTCTTTTTACAAGTAGGAGTATACTTAAAAGTAACAAAAAACACAGTGTAGTATGTAACCCATACATAATTGTGTATTTGCTGTACTTTTATATAACTGGCAGTACACTGGATTTGTTTACATCAGCATCACCACAAACATCAGAAGTGCACTCCAATATTGCCATAACTACATCAAAAGGCAATCAGCTCCATTATAATCTTATGGTGTCACCTTTGTAAATACATCCTTAACAAAAATCTTACCATGAAGTATTGGGACTATATTTCAGATTCAGTTGGGACAAACTTCTAGGCTTGTTGTCTGCATTCTATCTTAGATAAAATATTATTTAAAGCAAACCAATCATTTATAAAGTTAGATAGGAATATTTAATTCATTGTACTTTTGTGACTTAAAAAGTAAGTGAAATTCTGTTTTAATAGGTAAAGTTTTAAAAATTCATTGCCATTTTTGTGGGTGGCATATGTGGGGGAGGATCATTCTCTCAGTTACTTTTCCGGATTAGTTCTAAAATTACATTATACTGGCATTCTTTGGAATTTTTTTTAAAATGTATTTTTTAGGTCATTGTCTTATATTGAATTTGGATGAATTCATTTTGTATTGAAAGCTAGAATTCCTGTCTTAAAAATGCACTTTGTATTGAAAAATATTCATTTTGTTTTGAAAGCTAGAATTCCTGTCTTAAAAATGCACTTTGTATTGAAAAAATATTCATTTTGTATTGAAAGCTAGAATTCCTGTCTTAAAAATGCACTTTTTCTAATACTCTATGATACTTTGAAATAGAAAGGAAACTTTTCAATTTTAACTCCAAAGGATATTGAACACCACATAGTAAATTTTATTAAAATACCATAAACTATCCAAAGCTGAAACTCTTAGAAGTCATCATTCTTCATAACATTTCTTTTTAAAATAGAAATTACTGTGTTAAGGCTAGACTTGTCAATCTTAATTTTGGAGAATTGTTTTGGCTTTAACTTTTTACTGCCAAAAATAGCATTGATCTATAACTTTGAAAAGTTTACAGAAAGAACAAGAACCCTTTTCATGATTACCCCTAAAAAAAATGTTCAGGAGTAGAGTATTCCTGGATTAGTTCCCTAGTGTTGAAAAAAAAACCCAAAACACTAATGATCTTTTTTCATGAAAGATTTTTATCTACCCTATTGGATAGCCATTTTAATTCATTTACTCCATTGAAGGCTACTATAACTGTAAATCAGACATTTACTCAACAGGAAATCCCCAAAAAAGAAACCTATTGTTTTGGTTTAATATTTATTTGTTGAGTACCCAACATAGTCTCAGTGCTATGGTAGGAACTAAGGTTTTAAGACTAAATAAGACATGATTCCTGCCTCAGGGAACTTTTATGCTAGTGAGAAAAGGAAAAATAGTTATAATACACAATAGAATGTGAAAAATCTGGGCATAGAAGAGAGTGATGAACCCAAACATGGTAGGGAAAGGGCATGGACTGATGGGAAGCTAGAGGAGAAAGAATAGTAGTTCTTTTGACTCTTAGCTGTCTTAGGGAGTTGAGTGTGAGGAAGCCAAGCAGTGGCTGAGTGTGGCAGGGGCACAAGAGGACTCCTGAGGTCAATAACATCCAGACCTGAGGAAAGGCATGATGATAAGGAAACAGGATGCAGCATATGGGAACAGTACTTTTATATTTTTAGGACATAAATCATGAGGTAGGCAGTAAGAAGAGGAAGTTGGTTAGGTAGATATCAGCCTTATCATAATGACCTTTCTAATCTTGAGCATGTAAGCTTTCATGTTTGGACATTTTGACCTGACATGTTTGTAAAACATCCACTCTAGAGACATCCAGCAGTGTTTCTTCAACTGCAGTGTGCTCAAGAGTCACTGGGTATCTTTGGGATGCAGATGTTTTCAGTCAGTCTGGGTGGCCCAAGAGACCACATTTCCATGAAGCCTGGGAGTGATGTCAGTGCTACCAGTCTGTAAACTGCACTTGAAATAGCACAGGAGATGAGGAGAGGGTTACAACCTTCATGAGAATTTTTGGAAATTATCAGCATGTAACTCAGGGCTAAAATCAAAGTTGATTATAGAAATCCAGGAAGAACAAGCAGAGACAAAGGAAAATAATGAAGTTGGGATGAACCTTCTAATAAGCCAGTATTTTAAAATGCAAACATTCTTATTAAGATTAGTAATATCTGTTTGCTTTCAGACATTAGTTTTTAAGAACTTCTTTAAGATAACTAGAGCTTACCCAAGGCCAACATCATTCTAAATGGCAAAAAATTGGAAGCATTCCCTCTATAAACTGGAACAAAACAGGGATGCCCTCTTTCACCACTTCTATTCAACATAGTCCTTGAAACTTTAGCCAGAGCAATTAGATGAAAAAAATTAAAGGGATACACATAGGAAAAAAAGAACTGAAACTATCATTATTTGCTAATGACATGATTCTATACTTAGAGGATCCAAAAAACTCCATCAGAATACTTCTAGAATTAATTCAGCAAAGTAGCAGGATATAAAATCAGTACCCATAAATCAAATACATTTCTATACATCAGTGATGAATCTGCTAAAGAGAAATTAGGAAAACTAATCCCTTTTAAAATTGCCTTAAAAAATACTTGGGAATCAACAAAATAGGTGAAAGATCTCTACAATGAAAGCACTAAAGAACACTAAAGAAATTGAAGAAGGCCTTAGAAGATGAAAAGATCTCCCATGCTTTTGGATAGCCAAAATTAATACTGTCAAAATGGCCATACTACCCAAAGCACTATACAGATTCAATGTGATTCCAATTAAAATCCCAATGTCATTCCTTACAGAAATAAAAAAATGCAATTATGAAATTTACTTGGAAAAATAAGAGACTTTTACATTAAGAGATAATGCATTGAAAATGCTATTGGTAGTGTTTCTATTCATTTAATAGAGTGCTGAAACACAAGGAGAATACAAAGTGGTTATGGGTTTGGGGTAGGAATAAGCCTAAAATTTCTTTTTAGAGAACTGAAAGCCACTTAAAAACTTCAGGTCAATTTAAGTAGTTTAATGTTTAGACATTAAACTACTTTTCCACATCATCATATACTAATTCACATTGAATTTCTCACTGACATTTAGTATTGACAGGAGTATTAATAACTTATAGTAAGTTTATTATGAATAAATTTATTCATTTCTTTAGTTGACATTTGTTTTTGTATTAATGAAGCAAAAATAGATATTAAGAGTATAGCATAATAACTGGCATTCTAGTAATTACTCAACAAAGTTTATTCTCTTTATGTGTAATAAAGAAGTTTTAAAATTCTTATTTTAATGAGAATTTTTGGGGATTAAATTTTTTTATTTGTCCTTTTGAGATTTACAGACATAGACTGTATTTTGACATATTATACATACATGGAGTGTAACTTCTCATTCTTGTAGTTGTACATGATTGTGGAGTTTGATACTGGTTGTGTTTTCATATGTGAACATAGGAAAGTTATGTCCAAGTCATTCTACTGTCTTTTCTATTCGCAGGCCCCTCCCTTTCATCATTCCCCTTTCTTCATTCCCCTTTGTTTAATCCAGTAATCTTCTATTCCCCACCTGCCCCCCATGTGTTAGTATCCACATGTCAGAGAAACATTCGGCCTTTGGTTTTTTGGGATTGGCTTATTTAACTTAGCATGATAGTCTCCAGTTCCATCCATTCACCAGCAAATGCCATAATGTCCTCCTTCTTTATGACTGAGCAGTACTCCATTGTGTATATATGCCAAAAAAAAAAGTTTTAATCCATTTATCTGTTGAAATGCAGACACCTAAGTTGGTTTCATAGCTTAGCTATAAACATGGATGGGGTCATGTCACCATAGTGTGCTGATTATAAGTCCTTTTTAACAAGATATATCTTGTTAAGTTGAATAGCCTTTCCTACTATTATGAAGCACACTGGCTGGGCATGGTGGTGGTGCACACCTGTAATCCCAGCAATTTGGGAGGCTGAGACAGGAAAATTGCAAGGTCAAGGCCAAGCCTCAGCAACTTTGTGAATCCTTAACTCAAAATAAAGAGTAAAAAGGACTGGGGATGTAGCCCAGAGGGGTAAAGAGCTCCTGGGTTCATTCCTTAGAGGAAAAAAAAAAAAATTCCAATAATTCTATGACAGCAACCTAAAGAAAGGTAAAAACTTAGGAAGAAAGAATACTTATTGTTGGGATTGTTGTGAAATATAAATATTAAACATAATAGGAATTTATTAGTCTAACAATGTTTCAGAAGAATTACTATAATTGCACTTATTTTTTAAACTTCCCCAAATTTTGACTAGATAAGAATTATAGTTTTTACTATGCTTCAAAACTTTTTATTAACTGTATTTAAAATTTATTACTTATTAAATATGAAAAATATTTAATATTAATTAAAATACTAGTTAAAATATGCTTACATAGGAGCTAATTTTTTTCTTTAATTTTGGGAAATATATATTTATTTTCTAGAGCAAAAAGAAGAAAATGAAGCTCATGCATTCCATTTTAATGGTTGAAATCAGGAAAAAGTAATTAAAAATACAGACTAAAGTAAAAAAAAAAAAAACAGTGAATTAGGAACTGGGGATGTGGCTCAAGTGGTAACATGCTTGCCTGGCATGCGTGGGGCAATGGGTTCCATCCTCAGACCACATAAAATAAAGATGTTGTGTCCACCGAAAACTGAAAAATAAATATTAAAAAAACAGTGAATTAGAAGATGATTATCTTCAAGCTAATTTAATATGCATTGAACATTTAAATTTTTCCAGTGGTAAATTTTTAATATCATCAACTATGTAGTTGTCACCTGTCTTAAAATGTTGTTATTGTCTTTCTATCTTCCTGACTGCCAGTTTGGTACTAGTCTACTCACAGTCTTATTAGCAAGTTGTTTACTTCACATGTATGTTTTTATTTTCATGTGCTCAGAAAAATGAACACACATTGCATGTTAAAGCTCAATGAATGTTCACAAACGGAACCCTCCTGTTTAGCACCCAGTTGAATAAAAAGAATGATAGTGTCATTCAAAAGTCCACTCTCCCCTCCCTGGAGCTTCTTTCCTGACCCTTTTCCTTATAACATACCACATTGTAAGCTAAAAACAAACTTTATTGAACTGATTTTTACTGTGAATAGGTCAAGATGAAACAATATGTAATTTAAGCACAGTTTATCTTAAATCTAAAATGGTCTTGTACCTTCATCTCCTCTCCTTTGGTACATCCCCTTTATCACCTGGAGAGAACAAAAGGATGTTTAAACTTTATATTCACAGGCCCATCCTATCTTCCATTTCTAAATTAGTAAAATTAGTGTATTAGTCTTTTGCTACTATTGTTTAGACTTTTTAAATTTAGTCAATTTTTTGCCTGGATAACTAGAGTTAAATTTAATTCCCAGAATTTAGAAATGAAATTCTATAAAATATCTGCTGCTGAAGTTTTGAATATTAATTTAAGCCACATAGTCAATATTGTTAATTAATGAATTAATGTTAATTAATTAATCAACATTAATTAATGTTAATTAATTATTGTTAATAAATTAATGATAAAGCTAAAAAGTAGTGGAAAATGGGGTTCGGTTTTATTATCTTATCCAGGTACAATATCCTTATGAACTGGATTGTTCATTATTTTCTCTAGATTTTGAAGATGACATGATTGTAACATCTGATGTCTCGCGATACATTGAAGACCCTGGTTTTGGGTATGAAGACTTTGCGAGACGAGGAGAAGAACATTTGCCAACATTCCGAGCTCAGGTATAAGATGTCTTTAATTCAGAGTAGCCACTTTAACTGCCATTTTAACTATTAACTGTTGAAATATAAATAAATTGACTTCAAAATAAATTGGTCATTTGATAGTATCTATAAATCTTGGCATTTATCCTCCTTTTCAGTCTCATATAATTTGGTGTCCCAATAAGTGAATAGTTATTTTAGCATTTCCCCCTAAGAAGGCAAAAGGAAACTATCTGCTTTATTTAGTTACTTTCATTATTACATGGTAGTTGTACATTGTTCATGTGTTTTTCTAAAGGAAGCAGGGAGGAAATCAAATGGTAGGGTCATGTTTATATGTAAAAAGGTATTTTGTAATAAGATCATATACCAGCAGGCATGGGCTTAAGGGCACCCTCCCACTCCTGAAAATGTAGCCAACTATAGTTAGGTGAGTCCTAAAGAGAGTATAGGTTTGAATTACACAGATTCTTCTATGCCTATTTTAGATGATTTCTATGCTAACAGTCCATGTAACAGTTTGGTGACAGGGATATTCCAAGATCTTCGAGGTTCCTTTCAGATTCAGGTATAGTGTGCATGGTACCTGATCATCAGAGGTGGCCAGAGTTCATTACTAAACATGACAAACACTGGGCAAACATTCTGGCACTCCAATCTGCAAACCGTTGTGAAGGATTCTTGTTAAAGCCATAGTGAAGCTGCAAACCTAGAACTGAATTAGAAGTATGCTCACTTACTAGCTTCAGTAGTTTAATTCAGTTAAAACATATTGGATACATTTTGTTCACTTAGGACTACACCTGGGAAAATCATGGGTTCTCCCTGGTGAACAGACTTTATTCAGACATTGGACATCTTCTTGATGAGAAGTTTAGAATGGTCTACAATCTCACCTATAACACTATGGCCACCCATGAGGATGTTGACACAACCACACTGCGCAGAGCTTTATTTAACTATGTTCACTGTATGTTTGGAATCAGGTATGTTCTATGTGCATACAGTTTTATACTATTTTTAAGTGAAAATTCTGACATGAATCTTATTTATATCCCACTTTGTAATTATAGGATTCTGGGGAGAGAATAATATATGTGAACTTCTGATTTAAAAAAAAAATTCTGTTTTATAGAGAGCATTTTTCTTCATTTAAGTGTTGCAAATCTTAACAATGATGTACATATAAGGGCAGCAGGAAGAATTTACTGAGGAAAGGAGAAACAGCATCAGTAATCACTGGGATAGGATAGAATCAGACTAAAGTTGAGAATCCTTCCTGGAAAATAGATTAGTTTTTTTAAAAAATGTGTATTGTGTCTCTTTAGATCACTGTAATAAATTCTGTTTTTTTAAATTTATTTTTGAAGTAATGGTAATTGGGGCATAAGCAAAACTAGAATAGATTTTGTCCTCATAAAGCTTATGTAAGCTTACATAAGAATACTGAAATGAAACGTATCAGTCAATATAAATTAAGGCTTCTAAGTTTAGGAAATTAGCATTGAGATGATAGTGAGTAAATGAGGGAAGGAGATTGAATGGGCTAATCAAGAAAGCTCTTTTTTGGAGAAGTGCTTTTTGGGGCTGAGTTTGGAAGGCTTTTTATGGAATAGATTTGCAGAAAAAAATTTGCAGTTATGAATACATTTAACTTGACTGTATAGTGTATCTTTTCTTATATATTATGTGAAAGCCTTTATGGAATGAAATTAGAATTCAATTTGTTAAGCAGAGTATTTTCTGTAATTTTAGCTAAAGGATCACAAAATTTCCCTATTAATCAACTAATAATGAAACATTCTATGTAAACAAACAAATAAACAAACAAACAAAAGAAAACCACTACAGGTTGAGCATCCTAAATCTGAAAATTTGACATCAAAATACTTTAAAATCCTAAACTTTTTATCTTATTAAAATTTGGGGGGTTTTAGAGAAATTGAGATTTCAGATTTTCTGATTAGGAATGTTTGATAAAGTCTATGCAAGTATACCAACATCTAAAAAACTTAGAACTCTGGAACATTTCTGATCCCAGTCATTTTGGAGCAGGGATTCTCATCCTGCATTATGATGGTATATAATAATTATGCTATTTGTCCATTGACTATCCTGAACAATAAATTATCAAAGAATTATCATATGTTTAAACATAT